CATGAACGATACACCTGGTCAACCCAATCCCCTGGGCCCTATGCAAATCAGACACTGCCTTTTCCAGCCTCCCAATATAATCAACCATTTTTCCACTGCACATGTGGTTTCCTTCTCTCAGCTTGGAGCCCCCTGCCTCTGTGTCTGTATAGGGGAGCATCTTCCTTCTTTTTTGCATATTAAACTCTCTGCTCCTTAAAACCACTCCATGTGTGTCCATGTTGTTATCACCCGCATCTGCGAAGAGAGTCCACCTAACAGGCTTTGTGTCAACAAGGCTGTTTATTTCACCTGGGTGCAGGCGGGCTGAGTCCAAAAAAGGAGTCAGCGAAGGGCGAGAGGGGTGGGGCTGTTTTATAGGATTTGGGTGGGTAGTGGAGGGCCGGGGTCAAAAGGCGCTCAGTGGGGGAGGTTTTGAGGCAAGAGAAGGAATTTCACAAGGTTAATTGCTCAGTTAAGGTGGGCAGGAACAAATCACAGTGGTGGAATGTCATCAGTTAAGGCAGGAACAGGCCATTTTCCCTTCTTTTGTGATCCTTCAGTTATTTCAGGCCATCTGGATATATACGTTCAGGTCACAGGGGATATGATGGCTTAGCTTGGGCTCAGAGGCCTGACATTCCTGTCTTCTTATATTAATAAGAAAAATAAAATAGTGTTGAAGTGCTGGGGCAGCAAATATTTTGGGGGTGATATGGAGAGATAATGGGCGATGTTTCTCAGGGCTGCTTCGAGTGGGATTAGGGGCGACCTGGGAACCTAGCGTGGGAGAGATGAAGCTGAAGGAGGATGTTGGGGTGAGGGGCGATATTGTGGGGCTGTTAGGGGCATTTGTCATATGGAATGATTGGTGATGGCCTGGGTGCGGTTTTGTATGAAGTGAAAAACTAAACGGAAGACACGAGGTCCTAGTAAGAGAAGGAGAAAAACAGGTATTAAAGGACTAAGAATTGGGAGGACCTAGGACATCCAATCAGAGAGTGCCCAAGGGGGTTCAGCATAATTGCTTGGTTGGTGAGTTTTTGGGCTCTGTCCTTGACAGAGTCCTCCTTTTTATGTTGGTGACTGAGCTTGGTGGGGTGTGTTTTTAAAAGACCATTAGTCCGTTCTACCTTTCCTGAAGATTGAGGATGGTAAGCGGTATGAAGGTTCCACTGAATACCAAGAGCCTGAAAAACTGCTTGGGTGATTTGACTAATAGAGGCCAGTCTTTTATCGGACCTATAGAGGTGGGAAGGCCAAACTCTAAGGAATTATGTCTGACAGAAGGGAAGAAATGACTGCGATGGCCTTCTCAGACCCTGTGGGAAAGGCCTCTACCCATCCAGTGAAAGTGTCTGCCCAGACCAAGAGGTATTTTAGTTCCTGACTTGGGGCATGTGAGTAAAGTCAATTTGCCAGTCCTGGGCAGGGGCAAATCCCTGAACTTGATGTGTATGGAAGGGAGGGGCCCCGAACAATCCCTGAAGGGTAGTAGAATAGCAGATGGATCACTGAGGAGTAATTTCCTTGAGGACAGATTTCCACCATGGAAGGAAATGAGAGGTTCTAAGAGGTGGGCTAGTGGCTTGTAACCTACATGGAAGAGGTTATGAAATGATGACAGAATAGAATGGGCCTGTGAGGCTGGAAGGAGATATTTTCCTTGGTCTAAGAACCATTTGCCTTGTGTGGGAAGAGATCAATAGGTGGAAGTTTCAGTCAGGGAGTAGGTGGGAGAAGGAGAAAAAGTGGCCATGAGGGACAGAAGTTGGAATGCTAGCTGCTGCTTTAACTACCTTATCAGCATAAGCATTGCCTAGAGCAATGGGATCTGATGCCATTTGATGGCCCTTGCAGTGAATGACTCCAGCTTCCTTTGGAAGTAAAGCAGCCTTGAGAAGTGTTTTTATTAAAGAGGCATTAATGATGGAGGACCCTTGCGTAGTGAGGAAAACTCTTTCAGCCCATATAACAGCATGATGGTGCAGGATATGGAAGGCATATTGAGTCAGTATAAATATTGACAGAGTCCCTTTGCAAGAGTGAGGGCCTGAGTTAAGGCAATGAGTTCGGCTTGCTGAGAGGGAGTGGAGGGGGGCAGAGTGGTAGCCTCAATGATAGATGTGGAAGATTCTATAGCATACCCTGCCTTTGTTGATGCATGGCAATTAGGCCTGGTGGAACTGCCATCAATAAACCAAATGTGATCAGGGTGAGGAACAGGAAAGAAGGAAATATGGGAAAATAGGGTGAATGTCAGGTAGGTCAGAGAGATACAATCATGGGGGTCAGGTGTGGTATCCGGAATAATGTGGGAGGCCAGATTGAAGTAAAGGCCAGGAACAATGGTAATTGTGGGAGACTCAACAAAGAGTGAGTACAGCTGAACGAGCCAGGGAGCAGAAAGTATATGCGTCAGGTGTGAGGAAGAAAATAGATTTTGGAAGTTTTGAGAACTGTAGAGAGTGAGTTGAGCATAGTTTGTGATTTTGAGGATCTCTAAAAGTATTAGGGCAGCAGTAGCGGCCGCATGGAGACATGATGGCCAGTCTAAAACAGTAAGGTCAAGTTGTTTGGACAAAAAGGCTACAGGGTGTGGTCCTGGTCCTTGTGTAACAATTCCAACTGCACAGCCCTGCACTTTGGCTGTGTGTAATGAAAAGGGTTGGGATGAGTCAGGGAGAGCTACGGTGGGGGCAGTCTCTGAAGCTGTCTTCAAGGAACAGAAAGAGGAGTGGGGAAAGGATTTAGGATCTATGGGGTCAGCAAGGTTTCCTTTTGTGAGTTTATATAATGGTTTTGTTAGGATGGCAAAACCAGGTATCCAAAGGTGAAAGTATCCAACCATGCCTAGGAAGGAAAGGAGTTGTTGTTTTTATAGAAGGGGTTGGGGTTTGAGAGATCAGCTGGACACAGTCGTCAGGGAGAGCATGTGTGTTTTCATGAAGAATTATGCCGAGATAGGTAACGGATGGAGAAGAAATTTGAGCTTTGGAGGGGGATACCCAATATCCTTTGGAGAATAAATGTTGAAAGAGCAGGAGGGTGTCTTGTTATGAAGATTTAAAGGAGGGACTACAAAGTAGGTCATCAATATATCGAATAAGGTGAGAAGCAGAGGGGTGGAAAGAAAGTAAATCATGAGAGAAAGCTTGGCTGAAGTAATGAGGGCTGTCCCTGAAGCCTTGCAGCAGCACAGCCCAGGTAAGCTGCTGGGACTCATGGGTGTCAGGGTCAGTCCAGGTAAAAGCAAAGAGAGGCTGGGATGAAGGGTGCAGGGGAATAGTGAAAAAAGCATCTTTAAGATCAAGGACGGAATAGTGAGTTGTGGAGGAAGGCATCGAGGACAAAAGAGTGTACAGGTTGGGCACCACAGGGTGGACAGGCAAAACAATTTGTTGATAAGGTGCAGATCCTGAACTAACCTGTAGGACTTGTCTGGTTTTTGGACAGGTTAAATGGGGGAATTGTATGGAGAGTTCATAGGTTTTAGAAGCCCATGCTGTAGCAGGCGAGTGATAACAGGGTTCAATCCCTTTAAAGCCTGTTGTGGGATGGGATACTGGCGTTGAGCAGGGTAAGGGTGATTAGGTTTTAATGGGATGGTAATGGGCATGTGATTGGTTGTCAGGGAGGGAGTGGAGGTGTCCCATACTTGTGGGTTAAGGTCGGGGGATACGAGAGGAAGATGTGAAGGAGGCTTTGGGTTGGGAAGAAGGGCAGCAATGAGATGTGGCTGTAGCCCAGGAATAGTCAGGGAAGCAGATAATTTGATTAAAATGTCTCGGCCTAATAAGGGAACTGGGCAGGTGGGGACAACTAAAAAAGAGTGCATAAAAGAATGTTGTCCAAGTTGGCACCAGAGTGGGGGAGTTTTAAGGGGTTTTGAAGTTTGGCCATCAATACCCACAATAGTTATGGGGACAAGAGAAACAGGCCCTTGAAAAGAAGGTCATGTGGAGTGGGTAGCCCCTGTTTTGATTAAACAGGGGATAGACTTACCCACCACTGTGAGAATTACCTGAAGTTCGGTGTCCGTGATTGTCCAGGGGGCTTCTGAGGCAATCGGGCAGCATCAGTCTTCAGTCGCTAAGCCGAGAAGATCTGGGAAGGAGTCAGAGAGCCTTGGACCAGAGTTCCAGGGACTCTGGGAGTGGCTGCTGGGTGAGTTGTACAGTCTGATTTCCAGTGGGGTCCTGCACAGATGGGACATGACTTAGGAGGAATCCCGGGCTGCAGGCATTCCTTGTCCCAATGGCCAGATTTCCAGCACTTGAAGCAAGATCCTGGGGGAGGTGGTCCTGGAGGAACGCCTGGCCACTGCGGTTCAGGCATTTTTAAGTTCTTGTGTGCTGGAGATGTGGCTGGGGTTTCTCTCACAGTGGAGGCAAGGAATTGCATCTCAAATACGTTGCTACTTGGCTGCTTTTAGTCTATTATTGTACACCTTGAAGGTGAGGTTAATTAAGTCCTGTTGTGGGGTTTGAGGGCCGGAATTTAATTTTTGGAGCTTTATTTAATGTTGGGAGCAGATTGGGTAATAAAATGCATATTGAGAATAAGACAGCCTTCTGACCCTCCAGGGTCTACAGCTGTAAAGCATCTAAGGGTTGTTGCCAAAAGGGCCATGAACTGGGCTGGGTTTTTATATTTGATGAAAAAGAGCCTAAATGCTGATTTGGAAGAGGTCGGATAAAGAAAAAGGAACATTAACCTTGACTATGCCTTCAGCTCCAGCCACCTCTTTAAGAGGAAATTGTCGGGCAGGTCGGGGAGGGCTAATCACGGAACGAAACTGTAAGCCGGACTGGGTGTGAGGAAGGGAGGTGATAAAAGGATTATAGGGTCGGGGAGCAAAGGCTGAGGAAGAATTGGGACGTGGCTCAGTCTGGCTCAGAGTAGCCTGAGGAGGAGGAGGGAGGTCAGATGGGTCTGTAGAAAAGGAGGATTCAGAGGACTCAGAGCTTGGGGTGGAGACTGAAGGAACAGATAGGAGAGAAAGAAGAAAGATTTGGGATGAGTCGCATTGGGAGCAAAGACTAGGGAGGGACCAATGTGGAAAAGAATGCCTGGACGTCAGGCATCTCAGACCATTTGCCCATTTTTTGACAAAAATTATCTAGATCTTGTAGGATGGAGAAATTGAAAGTACCATTTTCTGGCCATTTAAGCCATTATCAAGTTTGTATTGGGGCCAAGTGGTGTTGCAGAAGAAAATAAGCATTTAGGTTTTAGGTCAGGTGTGAGTTGAAGAGGTTTTAGGTTTTTAAGAACACAGGTTAAGGGTGAAGAAGGGGGAATGGAGGGTGGAAGGTTGCCCATAATGAAGGAGGTAAGTTTAGAGAAAGGTAGAGACACAGAGAAGGGGGTAGGTGAGGAGCCAAAGCAGGCGTTCCTGCAGTTGATTTGCCACCAAGGGAATGTGGGTGAATGACCAAGGCAGGCGTCCCCACGGTGATCAGACACCAGTGGAGTGTGGGTGAATAATCAGGCAGGCATCCCCACAGTGATTAAATACCAAGGGAAGACTGTCTTCCCGAGTCTGTGATCGGCACTGGAGTTTTGGGTCCATGGATAAAATGTGTCTCTTTTGTCTCTACTAGAGAGGAAAAAGAAGTGGAATTGGAAGGACAGGGAGATGAAGGGTAGCAAGAGAGGCTGGAGAAGAGAGTGAAAAGACCACTTACCTGATTTGAAACTGGTGAGATGTTCCTTGGGCTGGTTGGTCTGAGGACCCAAGGTCATAGGTGGATGTCCTCACAGAGTGAGGGCAAGGACAGGGGACTGGTCTCCCAAAGGAGTCCTCCTGTCCCGGGTTTCAGCACCAAATGTCACATGCGTCCGTGTGAAGAGAGTCCACCAAACAGGCTTCGTGTGAGCAACAAAGCTGTTTATTTCACCTGGGTGCAGGTGGGCTGAGTCTGAAAAAGGAGTCAGTGAAGGGAGATAGGTGTGGGGCCATTTTATAGGATTTGGGTGGGTAGTGGAAAATTACAATCAAAGGGGGTTTTCTCTTACGGGCAGGGGCAGGGGTCACAAGGTGCTCAGTGGGGGAGGTTTTGAGCCAGGAGAAGGAATTTCACAAGGTTAATTGCTCAGTTAAGGTTTGGCAGGAACAAATCACAATGGCGGAATGTCATCAGTTAAGGCAGGAACAGGCCATTTTCCCTTGTTACTTCAGTTACTTCAGGCCATCTGGATGTATACGTGCAGGTCACAGGGGATGCACTAACACTAATTCCTGAAGACCCAGAATTCCACTGTGACTTACCCATCAGAGTGAAAGCATTACTGCTACATTGAGGGAGTAGCCCTTACAAATAGTGGAGATAGGAAATCTTCCAAGGGAACAGTATTGTTAAGTAACATATCTCCTCCATTCTGTCAGGAGGTAGAAATGTCTGATATAAAAATCTATGCTGATTCACAGATAGTGGCTGATAACGTAACCAGATGACCAGAAATTTGGAAAGAACACAACTGGGTATGAGGTCTGGAGGAAAAGTATGCCCAGAGTTCTTGGAATGGGCCCAAAGAATCAGAATATTTGTGTCCTGTGTGAATGCTCAGTTAAAAGCCTTCAGTACTTACACTAATCAAGTGGTCAAAAGATGACCTCTGTATGGATGTCAATCAGCCATCTTTTCCAGCCACCCCAGTGCTTAAGATTCATGGTCAAATTGGCCAAGATTGCGGGGATGTGGCCTCCACAATGTGGACCTCCCCCTCACCACAGCTGACATGACAACCCAGCTATACTGACAGCCTACTTGTCAGCAGCAGTGACCAACCAGACAAGCCCACACCCAGAAGAGACCAGCCCAAGTCTGATGGCAGGCTGATTACATCTGATCCTCTTCTATCACAGAGCAGGTAGCAATTTGTCCTTCCTGGAAGGGACACACCTTGGAATTGTATTTGTTTTGTATGTTCTCCAAACTTTTACCACCACCACCTTTCATGAACTTACTAAATGGTTTTTACATTGTTATGCTATCCCATAGACATTGCTTCTGATCATGAAACTCACTTTATGGTGAAAAGAAGGCAGGTATGTCAGCTCAGTGATGTCATCAAAGAACTGAGAAACAAAGTGCATTAGGGGGTGGTGCTTCTCAGTTTTATCCTAGTGATCCACAAAGTCTTTGTTTCTATCCCCTGGGATTCTGAGCTTTGCTGGTTTAGAACCAGAACCTCTTGGGATCAAGAGATCCTCCTGCCTCAGCCTCCCAAGTATCTGGGACTAGAAGCACACCATCATGCATGGCTAATTTTTTTTTTTTAAGAGATGGGGTCTCACTGTGTTGCCCAGGCTTATCTGTATATTTTGATTAATGTTCTCTTTTTTGCTGTTCCCTTACCCCATTACTATATAGTTAGATATTAGATACACAGATTGTATTGATGGTGGCTAACTTTATAATTTAGTTCATATATGAGAGAATATCAAGATAAAATTATAACTGGAACTAGGAGAGGAATGGATGTCATTTAAATATCTTGGGCTTGGAGTTGGATGTAGTATATTAGGGGGATGTGATTTCATTTCTGGTTGAGCAGATAATTAAATGTATTTGAATTATGTGTAAATTTCACAATTTTTGATCTATAAAGAACATATAATTGTATCAGTAGGTAATAGAATATTTTATTTCAAAACAGTGAAGAAGCTGCTAAGCATAAAATTTGTCAAATGCTACAAAGATGATGAATATACAACTGGGAATTCCAAGAAATTTAAATTTAATTACATTCTTTATTATGTTTTCCTCAAAAGAAATAAATTAGTTCCACCATTTGGCTAATATTATTTATAGGAAATAAAATATGGAATCTGTTATAAATGCCCTAATTTATACTACAGTATTAATCTCAATCCTGATCATTACCTAATTATAGCATTTACCAATCTGTGATTTTATAAATTAACCACATTTGTTAAATTAAGAAGAAATTTACAGACACCATTTTTTTCCTGTTACAACATATGGACAAACCATCAAAAAACAAAACAAAACAAAACCAAAAGGAAGTATATTTTATGCTAAAGTTACTTTCTGTCCAGGTCGAAACATTGTTCCACTTTGATTTTTTCTCCTCTTTGGATTTTGAAAGCTTTCATATCTGAAAAAAGAAAGAGATAATTTAATATGTGTAAATACTACCATCATAAAACAAAAGATAATGGATTGTTGGCAAACACAAAAGAAATGAACGGGAAATAACAAACTAGAAAAAAAAATGCCAGTCGCAGAAATTAAAAAGAATTCTTACAAATAAAGTTGCATTCCAATAGAAAACAGAGCAAAGGGGATGAAGAGACAAGTTAGAAAATATAAAATACAAATGACAATGAATAATATGAAAAATTGTAACTTCTATACTTTTAATCAAATAAATGTAAATTATTAAGATATCATTTTTTTAAAATCAAAAGGGCTAAGTTTAGAAAAATACTGCAACACACAATGTTTGTGATGGTGCAGTATATCTGGCACTCTCACATAATGCTGTTGAAATATATATTGTACAGTATTTCTGGAAGGCAATTGGGCAATACATTTCGAAAGCCTTAAAAATTGTGAACTCCCTGTTACGCAACAATTCCACCTCTATCCCAGTGAAACAGTTAGATATGTGCATATATTCAGCTGCAAGAATGTTCATTACCACATTGACTGGGAGCAATTTAAATGTCTAAAAATTGGATATTGTGGCATAGCTACACTATAAAATGACATTTAAAAGCAATAAAGTAATTAACATTTAAAATGTAAAACAATTTTCAGGATGTATGTGGATAAAGGGGGACTGCTATATAGCAATATGTACAGACTGTTCGTATCAGAATAGGAAAAAATATATAAGCATATAAACAGATATGCTTTGGGAGGTGGTGAGGTTAAGGGAAATTTGTTTCCTTGTTTTTCCTTACCTCTGTTTTCTGATTCTTCTTTAATAAATACATAGCACTAACTTATGTACACATACATACATACTCCAAAGTACTGCAAAATTAGATAACAAAGGACAGCAGCTTCTAAAGACCAGGAATAAATATCTCTTAAATTGAATTACACTGAATCATTGACCTAGAATGCTTCCCAGTCCATGGGTCTCAGATTCATAGGTGGTCATAAACTCAATTGCAAGGATCCTTTAAATCCAATGTGTAACAAATGTGGTCCACAAAAGAATAAATTTGAATGTATTTATATGTTCTTGAGATCAATAAAATATTAATATAAATTATTTTGAAGGCAAAACAGGTGTTTTTAATAACAAAATTTTATAAACTAGACATTAGAATCACTTTGAACTTTTAATTTTCCTTATTTTTTCAAAGTTACTAAATTGTTTTTTTTTAGCAAGACAGTCTTGCTCTGTCACCCAGGCTGGAGTGCAGTGGTGCGATCTCGGCTCTCTGCAACCTCCACCTCCTGGGTTCAAGCAATTCTCCTGTCTCAGCCTCCTGAGTAGCTGGGACTATAGGTGCATGCCACCACACCCGGCTAATTTTTGTATTTTTAGTAGAAATGGGATTTCCCCATGTTAGTCAGGTTGGCCTCGAACTCCTGACCTCAGGTGATCCACCTGCCTTGGCCTCCCAAAGTGCTGGGATTACAGGCATGAGCCACTGCGCTCAGCCCAAAGTTACTAAAATTAAATGAGTCTATTATGAATAATTCAAATATAATCAAATGAACTGGTTAATGAAAACTCAATTTTGACTTCTGTACTTCTGAAATTTTGGTATTTTTAAATGCAAATACGACACATATTTTTGAATTGGCTTTTACATATTCAAAATATTTTTTTTATTTTAAACACGAACTTTAAAGGTTTAAGTGTAATACTATGTCACTTATAATTGTAGCTGTACTTCCAAAACAGAATCTGTTACTTACAGCTCAGCAAAATTCTTCCAGTCGTCTTCACTAATGGATGGTCTTGTGTGACCAAGTGCAGTCATTAAATGTGACTGACTAATAGCCAGTCTGGTTTTAATTGGTCCTGGTTGGTTAATGGATTCATCCTCCTTAAGTAAAAAAAGAAATTGACAAAGAGTTAAATTAGGGATGTGAAAAAAAATATGGTAGTCCAATTGTTATTTCTTTTTGTCAGTTTTTTCAAGAGACCATACATTCTCTTCCTTATAAGATAATGAAACACTGAAAGCAAGGAAGCACATAACCATGACTGAGTTAATGTGTTCTGGTCCCTTGTTTATAAATATAGCTCATTTATAAGTCAAAGAAATACATATCAAAAGGGTGAAACAATTTTTAAGAAGTTTTAACAATTATAATGAGGGGGAAAAAGTCATACTCCACTTTGGCTCTGGTATCTGCCTTTGATAATACTGATATCTGCCCTCAGTTGATCTCTTTGTTCTTGTGTAAGTTCTTGGCAACCCTCTTGTGAAGCTGTCCTTAACACTGGAGGCTGTGAAAACAACTGGTCTTTCCCAGGAACTCCAGGCAAATCCTGAGTCACGGAGCTTGGTGCAGAGAGACACTGTGAGCTCTGCGTGGTAAATTGTAGTAATGAAAGATGGAAGGAAGACGGGGAGAGAAGAAACTATGTGTTTACCAAAGATAAAAATTAAACATTTTAAGCAATAAGACATTAACATAGATAAGTATACATGTTAATTAACTGAAGTTAAGCAAGTTGAAAAGTTGTTCCTCTTCTATAAAGGTTCACTGATACCTGTGTTATAGAACCACCATCGAGCGAAAATTGCCATAACACAGGGTAGGTTTTTTTTAACTTTGTTGCTTAAATCCAACACACTAATGCCCAAGGACAGGTTTCTTTGTTTTCAGAAAGTAAATTTATACTAAGTTTCTGGGACATTTCTAGATAGAATAAATAAATAAACAGAATTAAAGACTAAAATTAAACCACCACTTTACTATTCTTGGGAATACAAATGAATTGCTTTTATATTTTTAAAGTCTGAGTTAGGCTAGGTATAGTGGCTCACACCTGTAATCCTAGCACTTTGGGAAGTCAAGGCAGGCAGATCGCTTGAGCCCAGGAGTTTGAGACCAGCCTGGGCAACATGGTGAAACCTCGTCTCTACAAAAAGTACAAAAATTAGCTGGGCATGGTGGCATACTCAGCTACTCAGGGGGCTGAGGTGGGAGAATCACCTAAGCCCAGGAGGTCAAGGCTGCAGTGACCCATAATTGTGCCACTGCACTCTAGTCTGGGTGATAGAGTGAGACTGTCTCAAAAAAAAAAAAAAAAAAAAAAAAAAAAAGCCTAAATTAATAAAGTAAGTGTACAAAAAACCAGGAAACATATAACCAAATACATGTACAAATGTTACATGTACCAATAAAATTACAGTGAACCACTATTTTTGAGAAGAGATGTTGAATGCTAGTAGAAGAACAGTGATACTGCCTACATTTAATCAAAACACTTTCCTGTTGAAACATTATTAGCACCCTTCACTGTGCTTACACTTTGCAGCAAAAGTATCACAGATAATATTTTGATTTCAGGAATTTCTTACATTACTGTATCAAATTATTCATTATCCTCAACTGTTCATGATAATAGAATTTAAGTTTACTATAAAATGGAACTGCTCCTAAAGATATTTTAAAATCACTAGGTAAGAGAGAGAAACCTCAAAGAAACCAAAGGTAATCACAACCACGCATGACTTTGGTTCCTTGCTCCCAGCCCTGTCTTAAAAATCTTAACAAGGAATGCAAATTACCAATTAGTGTAAGCAAGAAACAAAACTATTTTACTGAAGAACCAACCAACCAGGAAGAATATGTGGGGCTGGTTAGGAGAGAAATCACTCCAACTTTACACCAACATGTAGCTTTATATTTCAGAACTGCATAATGACGACTGCACAAGATACCAAATCAGAAGAGGTTCCATTTCCAAGTTCTGATTCATAAGAGCTTCCAAAGTAGAGCCGGTACATATTGAATTTTGATTCATCTGGAAGGATCTCGGACATCTCTAAGGAAACAAGGGACTGATCTAAGCCACATTCTCCATCTCCAGCTGAATCGTCAGAGCCACTGCTATGGTTAAGAAAGACCATTGAAGACAGACTTAGGTCACTATCAGAGCTGGAACTTCCATCCTAAAATACACAAAAGGACAACCAGTTTAAAGATGTAAACAATTTTAGTCTCAGAAATAAATAATAACATAGCATTCTATCAGAGCAATACAAGAAACTTAGAAGCATTTTTCAAAAAACTCATTAATTCTCTAATGGTTTTGAGGCACATGGTAAAAATTTAACTCTTAAAATATAAAGATAACATAGAATGTGGAGATAATTTACCAACCATCCCCCAAGAAAGTCTGTAATGGAGCTAAGACTCAGACCTCTGGGCTTTATTTTTATGTCTCTGACATTCCATTCATACTTTTCTACTCCAAAATGATGAATCAACATGTTATAGAGTGCTTTCTCATTATAGAGAGCTCTACAAATACACACCTTTCTGGTAGTAAAGGGAGAGGGGAGAACTTCAATGGCTTGCCAAAATAGCAAAAACTTAGGGAGTATCTGATTTAGAAACTGTAGGCTCTGTAGACATTCCAACCAAATGTGGTAAAGAAGAGTAATAGAATAATCCTTCCTAGAAAATATATGGTAAAGTCTATAATGTAACAGTTCAAATGTCTACTGTAAATATTAAAATCATAATACTATCTTTAGAGAAAAGGCTGATGCTAAGGTTGGGATACAGAAAGCACAAGATAAACCAAGAATATTTTTCTTTTTGGGGGGCAGGGTCTCACTCTGTCATCCATGCTGGAGTGTAGTGGCACAATCATGGCTCACTGCATCCTGGACTTCCTCAAGTGATCCTCCTGCCTCAGCCTTTCCCGAGTAGCTAGGACTACAGGTGTGCACCACCATGGCCAGCTGATTTTTAAATTTTTCATAGAGACAAGTCCCATTCTGTTGTCCATAATGGGTGTAGTTTGTGTAACCATAGTTTGGTCTCAAACTAGGCTCAAATGATCCTCCTGCCTTGGCCTGCCAAAGTGCTGGGATTACAGATGTGAGCCACTGCACCTGGCCAAGAATAACTTACTGTATCTGGAAGTGAGGAAGTGATTCAAGAATGATGAGGACATGTCATAAAGATATAGGAGCCATACAAAAGGGGCTCCTATTGGCCAGATTGGGACAATTTGAGCTTCAAAACAACAGCTTTAACTAATTATTTTTTAGAAGTTAAAGTACAAAAAAACTAAAAACTCTAATTATTTTTCAGTTTGTAGTATTTAATTCATGGTATCCTAATTTAAATAATATCCTTGCAAACACCAACATGTTTTTGCCAATATTAAGGTAATGTTAAAGAAACAGACACCAAACTCTTCATAATTATAAATTCTCTGCAAAACCCATATTCCAACTATGGAACATTCAACTAAAGGTAAACTTACACTTCTATACAGTTTTACCAAAGTTGTTTAAAAAATAGCATTTTTTTAAGGTTGAAATTTTGACATTGTACTTCTCTTACCACTCAAAATGTCATAACAACTTCCTCATATAACTTGCCTGGAGTCCACTTGAGAGCAGCATTCCATGTAAGGCCTCCAATTGGGCATTGTAAAGTAAAGCTTTCAGATCAGCTCCAGTAAAGGAGTCGGTTACAGATGCTACATGCTGAAGGTCAACATCATCTGCCAGAGGTAGAGAGTCACTGAGGACATTTAAAATTTCGAGACGTGACACCTGAAGGGAGAAAAATTTATTTAACAAATAAAAAATATTAAAAATATTATATTAAATTGTGTGTCTTATGATTTTCTTCATAAATTAACCTTATATCTAAAAAAGCTTTATAAATAAGTTGCGAAATGTACCAACAGCCTACTATTTATCTTCCTTGGAACTTTTTCCCCAACAGAAATAATGTATGTAGGAAAATGAATGAAAATCACCACTCTTAAGGCTGGGCATGGTGGCTCACACCTGTAATCCCAATACTTTGGGAGGTTGAGATGGGAGGATCACTTGAGCCCTGGAGTTCAAGAACAGCCTGGGCAACACAGGGAGACCCCATCTCTACACAAAAATTAAAAATAAAATTATCTGGGCATGGTAGCGTGCGCCTGTGGTCCCAGCTACTCGGGAAGCTGAGGTAGGAAGATTGCTTGAGCCTGGGACACAGAGGCTGCAGTGAGTTGTGATCGTACCACCGCACTCCAGCCTGGGTGACAAAGTGAGACCTTGTCTGAAAAAGAAAAAAGCAAAAACCTACAAAATATTCAGTGTAAGTAATTTCTTATTCACACAGTGGTTATTTTCTAGATTTAGGCAAGTGTGCCAAGAAGGGATTTCAAAAGGAAAATCTAAATAATTTCAATAATACCTACATGTAACATATATTCAGATACTTTATACCTTTGACTATTTATTTGTCTATCTGTTCTTTCATTCATTTATTTGCTTGCTTCTAAATTGGAGAATAGCAGTTGGAACAACACAGGACTAGGAAGAGTTGAAAAATTATCTCTATGAAACCTGCTTACATGCTTATGATTCACATGCTTGATTCTGTATCAGAGTTTTTTTTGACAGGATAATGGATGTAATCATTGAACAGAAGAGAATGTGAAAATATAATACTTTAGGTTTCTTGCATTTTTTTCCCCCAATCAGCTAACACAGAAGGATTACAAAGTTTTCAGACTTGCACTGGGCCAAAGAAAGGCTTTGCATCTAATTCAGAATCTTTTTATGCTTTGAGCAAACAGTGGCTAAAGCTTTTCCCTAAGAAAGCTGATCTTCTAAGGACAATTGCCATTACCTGGCAGAAGTAAAGCTCACAAGGAAAGAGTGTAGCATTTGTTGGGTTTTGGACTCTAAATATGAAATTGTCACCTGATCAGGAGGAGGACAGTATACACATTTATCTAGTCGACCAGGCCTAAGCAGGGCAGGGTCAATCAAGTCAGGGCGACTAGTCGCAGCCAATACATAAACACCTAGAGGAAAAAAGAACATTTTTTTACTAAAATCTGATGACATGATGACATTTTGTTATAACATTCTATTTCTGTATTTATAATTATTACCCTGTAAGCCTTCTACTCCATCCAACTGAGTCAGCAACTGGTTAACGACTCGGTCTGTAACTCCTGTATTATCATGACCCCGCCGAGGAGCAATGGATTCAAATTCATCAAAGAAAAGAATGCAGGGCTTTGCAGCCTGTGCTCTGGGAAAAACAAACAACATTTCATATTTGAATCAGGCTTCATAGTTTGCAAAGTGATTTCATATATATATATGAATGAATTTATGCATTTATATATTTATGTACTTCTTTTAATGTTTACAACAAACCCTTAAAGAAGGCAAGTTGTATGTATTTACATATAAACACATATAAATGTATTTATATATATTTATGTACTTATTTTAATCTTTACAACAAACCCTTAAAGAAGGCAAGGTATATGAAATTGCCCTCGTATTCAGTAAACTGCTGAGGTCAAGGTGTTTATTAAGACCCATGCCTTCTGGATAGACTAACGGGGATCAAAACAAGAATCTGACTCTTGGTCAATAAGTCAAACACTTGTTTGATTTCTATTACAAGTAACCATTTTTATATTAATATATACTTATTGGCCACCCTTACTTCTTTTGTGAAATGCCTATTCATTTCTTTTACCCATTCAAAATTTGGAAAGCTCATTATGCTGGTACTGTTTTGTAAGGGCTCTCTATTAAAAAAATATATTTTCTTATTTATTTATTTATTTATTTATTTATTTATTTATTTATTTATTTAGTCTTTGAGACGGAGTCTCTCTGTCGCCCAGGCTGGAGTGCAGTGGCGCGATCTCCACTCACTGCAAGCTCCGCCTCCCGGGTTCATGCCATTCTCCTGCCTCAGCCTCCCGTGTAGCTGGGACTACAGGTGCCTGCCACAGCGCCTGGGTAATTTTTTTTGTATTTTTAGTAGAGACAGGGTTTCACTGTGTTAGTCAGGATGGTCTCGATCTCCTGACCTCGTGATCCGCCCGTCTCGGCCTCCCAAAAAATATATTTTCTTTTACTTTTCTAATAATTTGAACTTTGACTTTTAGTTTTATTAATTTATTAACAAATTTTAATTCTAAAGAAGTGAATATTAATTCCCTCTCTGGCAACAGGTGGACTAGATGTCTGGAGAATAACACCTAATATAAAACACCTGTCATGGTGATTAAAAAACCCAACAGCTATCTCATTAAACGCACGGCAAGTAAAATATATCTTCTGGGGCCAAAAATAGACCAGAATTATCTGCTATTTGCATGTTTGGCAGAACTCTCCTAGAAAACTGAGTCTGATGTTTGATTTGTGTAAAGATTTTTTTAACTTTTCTAACTCAATTTTTTTACTAAGTTATAGGACTACTCAGATTTTATTTCTTTTTGGTTCAATTTTGGTCAATTTTATTTTTGTCTATGTCACCTAAGTTTTCAAATGTATTGTCATAAATATTTTCATAATATTCCCTTATTATCTTTTACATTTCTGGGATATCTTTAGTTATGGTTCCCTTTTTATCCCTAAAATTGCTTATTCATGCTTTTTTTTTTTTCTTAATCAAACTTGCTAGAGATTTGTCAATTGTACTCAGTGTTCAAAAAATAAATTTTGGCTTTGTGAGCTTCTCTGTTTTGTGTTTCATTAAACTTCATTCTTATCTTTATTATTTCCCTTTTAACCTATTTTTTAGTGTATATCTATAATTTTCCTAATTTCATGAGATAGATACATAAGTGGTTAACTTTCAACCTTTTTTCTTTTCTAAACATTTAAGGCTATAAATTTTCCTTGAAATCAGTTTTGCAACAACTAACAATTTTAATGGATAGTATTTTCATTATCATTTGCTCCCAAATATTTTCCACTATAACCTCTCTTTAACCCAGGAATTACGTAGAAGAGGTTTATTTTGTTTATGCTTTTTCCTGGTAAACTGGGTGGTGAATACATGAAGTATTCATTTTATTATCCTTCCTTAAGATGCATAAGTATTTTATATACTCTTAACTGTACATTTTATAATAAAATTTTTGGAAGAATAAAACAGTAACTTTTATTTTAAAACTCCCCATAATGCTATCACATTTGAATAATTATTTTAATCCTTACATACCATCTTCTATATTCATATGCAGTTTTTTTAATATATGCAAAATAGTTACATTCACTGAAATTAAATTGGCCAGATGGAATCTTGATTTATAAGAGATAAATTAGAGACTGGGGGAAAAAAGAATTTAGAACTTAGAAAATTTAGAGATAAATTAGGGGCAATTATTTGCTTCATATAAGAATCTACTCTGAGATTTCTTTGAATAACCATTTCGATTCCACTTTGAGGAGTATTTCTATTGTAAATACAAAACCAAATGATTTCCAAAATTTAATATCTAAAATATTTTGTAGTATTTGGTGAAATAGAGAATCCATGTTCTCTAGCTTATTAATAATTCACATAAACCACAGGTTTCAAATATCAGTTCTTCAAAAAACAAGACCAAAAAAAGCATTGATTGATAAATAATAACAGAGTCAGTTACTTTAAAAACATTAATAGGGAACCAACCTAATAAAAATATCCCGAACAGCTTGTTCACTTGCTCCAATATATTTGCTGAGTAACTCTGGCCCCTATGGGTAAAATAAAATTAGAGTTGAGATAAAATTATTTAAAAAGAAAATATAAATTTGGTTTCTGACTAAATGAATCATGGAAATCTTTCATATGATTAAATAGATGTCTTTTATACATTTTTAAAATTAATGTGTGCTAGAATAAATAACATACCACAAGTTCTATGCTTGGTGTTTCTTCTGCCCAGAACATTTTCCCCCAGATATTCTCATGGCTTGTTGCTTCATTTTATTTAGATCTCTGCTCAAATACCACCTCTTCAGAAACCCTTTTCTGACAAGTCCATCTATGACTCACTCCAGTTTACTCTAAGCTTCCTTACCCTGCTTTTCTTCCTACATAGGACTTACCATCACCATCTGACAGTGGATTATATACTGAATGTGTCTATCTGCTTATTGTCACTCTCCATTAGTAGAATGTAAACTCCAAAAAGGCAGTTTTGTTCACTGCTGAATCCCTTGTGCCAGAAACAGTGTCTGCCACGTAAGTATTAGATAAATAATTTTTTTCAAGTGAATAAGTGAATGGTTGAAGAAGGGACAAAGTTCCATCTAAAATTTAAAAAATGTGTAGAGATATGACTTTAATCAGCATCTTCAATTACTGAAACAATGTATTTGCACAGGATTTAAAGAATATATCATTTTTAGAACGTGGGAAAAGGCCAAAAAAAAAAAAAAAGAGAATATATAATCTTCCCTAAAAGCCAACTGAAAAACCTTTCGAAATAAACTTCCCTGCATATAGCAAAATCAATAATAAGAATAGTCTTTCCTTAAATTGGAATCTTTTAAAAAAAACTGAATAGGTCCTAAAGAAATCTGTAGTGAAAAATCACTATCTCCAAAAGACCAACTACTGATCAGGATATGTGACCAAAATAAGGAATTTCTAATATTCAACCACATAGATATCTATTAACGTAATAATATTTAATTACATTTCCTCAGTACAGTCAGAGAACTATAGGACTAGAGGAGGCAACAAGAAATAACTAAAGCAAGGCCGGGTATGGTGGCTCTCACCTGTAATCCCAGCACTTTGGGAAGCCGAGGCGGGTGGATCACGAGGTCAGGAGGTCAAGACCAGCCTGGCCAACATGGT